GTCTAAACTTTCTTTCTGACTGCCTGGTAAACAAGCCCCATTTCTAGCCATGTATCTTTCTAATGGCAGATACTATATCATCTGCCTCAGTGAAGACACGAATTAGGTGATCCCACAGAAACTGTGTGCATTAGGAATTTAAGAGAAGCCACTTGCTCTGTGTAAGCACAACCCAACAAAGCTGCAGGATGGATACAATTTACTTTTGTCGCCAAGAAATGTAGCTGAGAATAGCATGAGAGAATAATAGATGAGAGGAGGAGACAGACAGATACATCCCCTGCAAGTCCACACTTCATTCTGAGTACCAATATCATAACTGGAAAAAAAGTTTCTACCTCATGGGCCACCTCAGTAAATAGTTCACCTAAGAAGGGTAAGTCCAGGACAGCTTATACCATATGGCATGGTTACACCAGATAGTGCTCTTGTTATGAATCAACATCCTGTCATGTTTTAAACGCAACAGGTAACTGTCATACAAGGATACAGACACCCCAGCTTTTTCCTCCTCTTATTTAGAAGACTTGCACAACCAAGATGTAGTTGAGTATGTTTAAACAAACACACCACCAGTTCTTAACTGGAGTCTACAACAAAACTCAACCCAAGACTTGCTTTTCTACAGGCAGTATATATTTAATATATGATATACCAAACACAGCACTACCTGAGCTAACCATGCAGAGCTGTAAAAAATAAACATGGTTTATTATAAATTTGGTTATTCCTGCATCTCCAGTAAATCATTATTCTCTCATGCTTCCATTAAAAAACACCCATAAAGCCTCATACGAGGTTCCACCTAAACCACATGGTTGCGCAACCCTGTGGGCAGCCACCTTTTGAAGTTCAGTAGCTACTGCACAGGGCACACGGCACACGGCAAAATTCTCCTCTCTGTATGGGATGAGACACTGCGGAATTTTGGTCCTGAGACACTTTCAAAGGGAGGGAAGGAAAACTGGGGTACATGGGAAGACAAAGAATGAAAGAAAATCGTGCCAGGATGGGATGGAAGGACAAGTACCTACTGTAAATGAGACAGACAGAATGAAGGAGAATATTAGAACAGGGGACCATGCCAGTAGTTTTTGGACATTCTTGCCCTAGAGAAATAATGCTGGAGGAATGGCATTTCAAATGAAGGTTGCAAAATATTCTGCAGCATACAAATCTGGCAAGACACAGAAAAATTGTATTGTAAGTATATCCATTAGGTACCATGGTATATGCATTCTTTCCACAGGGGAGGACAGTACCCGATTTAATTCACATGGTACATGACATGCAACTTCAGTGCACTGAAACAAACTGGACTGGTGTCTGGCAAGTTTTCTGCGATGCCAGAAGAGGGAATGTTTTAATTCAATTAATTCTTTCAGCTGAATAACTCTTTTTTTCAAGAAAGAACTGCTTATTACTGCAAAACAGATCCAAATACTTGTTTAGGCCGTTCTGCACGTTTTATGAATAAATCCAGAGCAATGACATGAAAGACATCTTCAAACTTCAGCTCACCACCATTAGATTTTGTTACTATTTCCTCCTGACTTCACCCTGCATTAAGAAAATGGATAAAAACGTGGAAATGGGAACACTCTAGTTCAAACTAAATCTATGGCATATGATGGTAATGTATCCCATATTTGCTTTTACCAAGGTGGGCAAAACATACACATGCATAGTCCAACCACTTGATTAATGGAAAAAGCCCCAGAACACAACTCAAACCCTGGGCTCCACAGCCCTGGGGTGTATTCGTATTTGAGAAGTTCTCAAAAATCCCTCTTCTTCATCCTTAGACTGGTTTGCTTCCTCTCCCTCAATGAACCTCCCTGCTTTTGAACTCCCATAATAAGCTGTCTTCACTCACTATTCCTTCAAGTTACTCTGATTTCATGCAAGTCACTTTAAGACTTACTTCCAGGCATTCATACTTGAAAAGGTGTGCATTAGTTGGGGTGGAAGCTACAAACTTGAAAATACAATAAAAAGATGACCAACATTTTAAAATAAGGTAATAACCATTCTAAAAATAATGCACAGATTTACACATTTGTGCAGGAAATTTGATAAAACTTTCAGCAATTCAAAACTAAATGGCTGTTTGAAGTAAAATAGTTTTCAAAGCTTATTTTACAATGCTACTTTCTATGGCATTCTTGCCTTTAACTTGAAAGTGCAACTCAGTAGACAAATAGCAAGAGAAAATCCAAACACTCGATTAAAAAATTATGTCAGAGTAATCTGAAAATTAGCAGTACATTTGTACATTCTACTAGGCAGAACTAGAGAACTGCTATCAACAGTCTTCCCTGAACCATACTAAAATTGCCTCTGAGCAGGCAAACTCTTCCTGCCCTTTACAGTGAGGTTTACTTCATCAATACTTTACTACAATGAAGCACCCTGAAAGGACAAATGCGAAAAGAAAAAAGGGATCCGTAACAGACAGAAAATAACAGCATTTTTAAATAGCTTTTAAAGACATGTCTAGGACAAGCCAATGTCTACTGAGTAACTACAGTTCGAAAGAAATTAAGTTTTTTTTAATTACACTCCTTAGGAATAGCCTTTGACAGAGTTTTCATTTTAGAATACACAGACTCTAAAGCCAGGACCACTTAAATAAAATTTTAGGGGTTAATAAAATTTTAAGGGTTACAATAGCAATACTGACAGACTATGGTAAAACCAAGTCTCTGGTATCACTGGACCAAGGAGAAGTGTGGTCTAGCCACTCTGACTGGCGAATGTCAAAAATGACCTTTGCAGCCATCACCTTGACTGTGACATGCAAAATGGAAAAGCTGCCAGTTTTCAGAGCTGATCGAAAGCATAGGCATTTGAACTTTTTAATATTTTGGTACTTACAAGGGGAGGAGAAAGTTGATGGAAGGACTTAAGTCCAATATTTATGAGAAATCTTCGCCCTTCTGTTAGCTCCCTATGGAAGCTAACTCTGTGAGGCATTTTATTCAGCCTTATAAATTCTGATCACAAGACATTTCATTAGGAGGAATTCAGACAAGCCTGGAAAACCTCTCAGTATGCATCCCTGAATGTAAAGAACTCAGATTAGAATGGATTCCACTCTGTGGCCCTGCTCTCCAAGATCTGACAGAATCTCAACAGTATCAGAGAAGTCAACCTTAATGCATTCACACCAAAACTAGCCAGGCAGAGCTGTAGCTGGTCTTACAACTCAAAAAGTGAAATCACAACCATAGTTCTATCACTGGCTGTCACTTCTGGGGATTTAAGAAGCTTCTCCAAACCTGACACCACAGTCAAGTACAGTGATTACAAACATGATCTGTGACCAGTTACTGAAATAACATTTTCTGTTCTGTATATAATTTTAATGGGATTATTTTGGAATCTGAATTGCAAAATAAACAAAGTTTGCCTTACAATTGTGTCAATACACCTAGTTAATTGTTCGAAAACTGGACCTGCTCTAAAACTAAGATGCTCTAAAAACTGACACTGAATGTTTATGTACAAATATACAGACATGACTATACACATGCACAAAGATAATGTGTTTTCTTCACACATGTGTACACTTCCAGAGCAATGGAATAATTTCAAATGCATATATTCAGCCTGTCAATCACAGACAACATGTACCCCAAAGAAAGACCTCCTCGAATTTAATTCTACTTGCAACCCTTGAAATAATGATCTGTAGTTAAGTGCTCCTGGGCATGCCATCTGCTTATTTGGTTTAATGCAACCAGGAGAAAAACTAAGTACACCTTTCAGTTCTGCCCTCTAACATTACACACATGAGTTCCTTACTTAAAACAAAAAGTTTAAGAGATTAAAGAGGACTTACTAAAATACTAAAAAAAAAAAAAAAATACTTTAGTCAATTGCATACACTAACCATCAAGCAACCAAGTTCAATAATTTTGTGTTGATATGGCAATAACTAAAATACCACAACTGGGACTGCTTTAAAACCATCACAATCCACTAGGTTGACCTCATGTGCAGGCCACTGCAATGGACCAAGGAGCAAGAAAATTTCCAAGGCACATGGAGATTCCATTTTAGCAGACAAGAGTAAATGTTATTTCAAATGTTGAAGAAATCTCAAAGAGTTGTTTTCCTTAAAACTTATCAGACAATAACACCCAAGTATGTTTGCAGGAGGTATCCAAAAAATCAGTCTTAGGCATAGCTCAATACAGTGCCAGATGTCATCCAGTAACTGCTGAGCACACACAATAGCACCAAGACATTCAAACATCCTTCTGGTTTTGAGCTAGAAACAAGAGTTGAAAAACCCACAAATTCTTATCTGCAATGCTAAAGTGACAAAGCATGCGTGTATGTATGTACATGACATTCAGATGTGTGCAAAATAACCTTAATAAAATTTCAAATTCCATGGAAATGCCCAAACTGTTCTAAAACAGTAATGCAGAACTCACAAAACCTTAGAAACAAACATGTCAATATGTGTATTTCCTAGCTGCTTCCAAAATAATTCTTTGGTAAAACAGTCATAAAAAGAAATAATTGGAGAAAATCAACAGCGTCTTGGGGGTTGGGCTTTTTCCCCTTTTTTAACTAGTACCCAATATTTTGTTGTTATCCTAGAACAGAATTCGGAGTGCAGCCACCTTATTACACAGCTAGCTACAGTCTAATTTCCTAACCAAAATACAGCAATTTTCTAAAACTCAAGAGGTGAAATGCAGGAATTAATGGTCTGCTTCAATAATATAGATTTTTTTTATTTTTTCCTGCTTCACAAACACATTCAACCCCCCTGCTGTTTCTGGAAGTGCAAAGAGGATAGTGGGCAGCAGAAAAGCTGAAGCCTTGGGACACAAAGAAGACTTCAGCTAGTGCGAGAAACAAGCCCCAAAACACCTTCCACCAAACCAGACAAAAGATGGAGGAGAATGACAACCCCCCAAGCCCATAGGTGACCGCCCCTCAACCCCTTCCCTGTGTGCTTTAAGGGTGCCAATACACTGTACCTTTGCTTTTTGCAGCAGCACTGCTGCCAACTGAGGAGGATGCCTGGGAATCCTTCTTCAGCCTCTTGCTCTGAGGTCTGACGCTGGACCTAAGAAAATGATGCTGGTCCTGGCTGTGAGCGGGCTGAAGGGAGGTCGGGGCCTGTGACAAGCTGGGGTTCGGTGCGGGGCTGCTGTGAGTGCTGTTGTTAATAATCTTATCTTCTTTCTTTGTGCTGCTGCTGCCTGGAGCTGCCTCTCCTCCTCCTGCCCCTTCTTCTTCCAGGGACTCCTCATCTCCTCCTACTCTCTTGCCCAGCTTTTTCACCCCTTCCTCCCTGCCGCTCTCTCCCAGTTTCACTGTCATCCTGTTGGGGAGGAGAGAGAGAACAGAGGGGGACACAGAGTGAGGACAGGGAGCAACCCAGAGAAGGGGAGAAATCCCTGGTCTGCGAGGGGAGAAGTTTAGCTGCAGAAATTCCTCTCAACATGGCCGCCGTTGTTTGTTACTAAATCCCCTTTCGTTTGCTGTCCCGACCCAACAACCTGTGCCGAGGGCGGGAGGGGGAATGCCCCGCCGGAACCCCCCCCAAACCGCCCCAAAATTCAGCCGGGCTCCCCCGGCAGCCCTCAGCCACCCTCCCGAAGGGCTTCTGGGCGCCTTTGGCGGAAAAATCGCCCGGCCAAACTCGGGCGTGGGGAAGCGCTCGACAGCCGCCGAGAGGAAAGGCGAAAGCAGCCGCCGAGACCGGCAGAGCGGAGCGGGACAACGTGGCCGAGCCGGCGCCTAGCCCCCCATCCTACCCCTTCCGCGGCTCCTCGGGCTCCGGGGGGTTCTTCTTCCTCCTCACCATGGAGCCGAGCCGATCCGGCCCGCCGCGGGGGAGGGGGGGGTCATGTTCCGAGGCGCTGCGGCTTCTCCTCCTCCGTGCGTGTGTGGCTGTCTCTGGGGCTGGGACTGGAGGAGGCTAGCTAAAAGCTCCAGCCGCCCCCCCCCCCCCCCCCAGCACCTCTCCGCCTCTCCCCGAGGGGCTGCCCCGCGCGACAGCACCGCGCCGCGGGCCGGGCGCCTGTCACCGCGTCCTCGAGGCGGCACCCCCGGAGGCTCGGGCTCGAGGGCTCGTCATTTTATTGACGCGAACCCCATTTATTTTCTTTAATTTCAGGGGCGACAAACTCCGCAGGCATCTGCTGCGGCTTCTTCCCCCTCACCTCGATGGAGCCAAGCAGAAAAGTTGTTTTAAACCATCATGTGCTGGAGGACCACTGCTGGACCAGCAGAGAGGCATCACCTGAATCACATCCACCATCGGGACTTGACCACTCACCCTGTGCTTCACTTCATACATCCCCTCAGTTCCATAGTTTGGGGTTTTTTGAATGCTTGGAACAAAACACCAGACACACACACACTAAATTATATTAGGTGCTAAAACCCAACAACTGGTTGTTGGGCTTTTTACACTTAAAAGAGTGTGAAAATATTACACCGTATCTGCAAGAAGTCAATGTCCAAGAAGGAAACCACTCACAGCAAATCAGCAAGGAGCAGCTGCCTTGTCACCAGAGCAAGAGCCACAGCCCATCTTTAACAGAGGGGAAAAAGGTAAAAACGAACAAAAGAAGGAAATGCTGAGTATCACAAAGACTGGGATTGCTATGGATGAGCCTGACACAAAAACAGCATTGTTTTGAATAAGCAAGATGCATCAGCTTTGCACGGTGTGAAAATTGGTGAAATCTCGGTTTATGGGTTGTATTTCTACCATTAAAATATTGCTTTTCCCTCTAATGATTTTCAACTAAACCGATTCAGAACTGGAACGGGCAATGCTCCATTATTTGCAAACACTCAGTAGACCGATTTGAACTATGGCTCTAAACTTGTATTAACACTCACTTAACTATCGAGATGACAAGTCCCTAATTACAGACACAAACTTGTTCTCCACACCACAAAAAAACCTTGCAGTGATTTCAGTTACACTGAGGACAGAAATCTTCCCACTTTGACAGTCTATGCTCAAAACCTTCACTTAAATAAGGCTTAAATCTTCTTGATTTTAAGTTTAGCTTTGGTCCCCTAGACCTCTACTCGGACGCCGTACCCTACGGCGCTCAGCTCCCCTCAGGCAGGACGCTTTCCCCGCAGGCCCCGGGGCCGCCGATCCCGGTTGATCAATGACCTAGACAGGAGAGCCGGGCCTGGCCAGGCCAGTGCCCCCGGGACACGGCAGACCCCACGGGGCCCAGGGCGCCGTTTCCGCATCGTTCCCAACCCGCTCCACCCCACAGGAGGCCCCGTCCCTCACTCCGGGCCTCACCTGCCGCATCAACGCCGCCGTGCAGCCTCCGCGCTCCAGCTCCCACGCCGGCGGCTGGCTCAGGTCTTCGGGCACCCGCAGCCCCAAGCACCCCCAGGCTGCGCGCCAGACCCGCCAGCGCGGGAGGGGGCCAGCACGACCTGCAGCCACCGCGGGCCCCAGAAACCCTCCCAGCTTTGCTGGCAGCGGCAGCCCCGCTCCCGGCCGCGGAGGCGATCTCTCTTCCCCACGCTCCTCCGAATACGCAGTCCTGGCACCGCCGGCTCCCCCCTCGGCCTGAAAACCCTGCCCCCCACACCCGCTGCTCTCTGGCGCCCGGGACTGGGCCGCAGTGAGCTCCAGGATCGCGCCGCACTCAGGCTGCGGCGACTCCGCTTCCCCGTCACCCTGCGCCAGGCCGTGGGGGCGGGACAGGACGCAGGACGCAGCCCGCGAGCCCAGCTGAGCGCGCCGGCGCTCTCCACCCCGCACCCCAAACAAGGCGCCCCATTGGTTGGCAGCAAGCGGGAGCGAGTCGGGAGGCGGGGCCGGGGCCCTCCCGCAAGCCAAACAAAGCGCGGCGCGGGTGGGGAGATGGCCGCTGAGCGCAAAGGGAGAGGCAGCGGCGGAGGCGAATCCCAACAGCTGGCTGATTGGCTGAAAGAAAAACCAATTGAGGGTCGTATGGCTGGGGCCTTGGCTGCTGTCGGGGCTGCCATTGGTCAGACTCCGGTAAATCGCTAGCTGCCTGACCAATGGTAGTTCGGATCACGGCATGTGGCGTTTCTTGTACTGCTTGTCGGGAAAGCGGGTCTTCTGCGGTACGGAGGAGCGCAGCTGAGGCGTCGGGCTCAGCTGCCCTTTCCAGGGCCTTGCAGCTGGTGCTGGTGCTGGGGCTTAGCCTGGCTATTCAGGTGATGCGGCGCTCCGCTAGCCCAGAGAGATCCGCTGGCCCAGGCGAAGCTGGGTCACGGTGCAGGGCCCGTGGTTGCGCTCCCCAGGGCTGTCTATGCTCTCCTTGGAGCCGGCAGGGATAGTGCCACGGTGCCCACCGGAGAGGCGCGAGGCTTGGTACAGAGTATCATGCCGCAGCGTGCTCTTGGTGGCTCCATGGTGTCGGTTGAAGAACCGATTGCTTCTCGTTGCTGTTGTAGGAGAGGAGCGATACCGCCGAGGCCGCGCCTCACAGCGCGCTTCTTGATGGATAGCGGTGTTAATTAGAGATGTTAATAAGCTCTTTGTGGTTCATAGAGGTTACAAATAACACCTGAAATGATAAAGGCGACATCTCCTGGGAAGGCTGTGTGTGTGCATAGTCCCGGCCCTTCCGCAAAGTTTGCACATCTGCAGTTGCCCTTCACTGGGATCTGGGTTTTCAGTCAACTCTCTACCAGGTTACGAAGCTTCAGTCAGTAATGGACTGAATTAAAGGGTGAATTTTGTTTGCTGACCTAACATTTTGGGTTTTGGCCTGTTTTCCAATCACTGCCCTCTGATACCTTGATGTGGTGACTTCATGTTAACTGTCAGAATGATTTCAAAAAAATCCTACAACTGCATGAGATTTTATTTCCTTAATAAATCCCTTGTGGGAAGAACGTTAGATGATTTTTAATGTTGTGCCTATCACAGCAGGGAAAGAATGCCATAGTCCCCTTCTGAGGACTTGCATGGGTACAAAATGCATATTGTCTTTCAGTGTTTGTTGGCAGGGTTTTCTAGACTAGGCAAGAAGGTTAACCTGGATTTGTTGCACATCCTATGTATTTTAAGGTATGAATAAGAAATTTCCTTTTAATAGAAATAGAGCACACAATGCAGAACATCCATCAGAAGGACAAAGTTAATACTTTTGGTTTATATTGAGGTGTTTTTACTTTTGCATCTAATGTGCATGATCATTACATTCATTATAACGTGAAAATGCTTTTCCAAAGCTCTTAGTTGTCAGAAGCCAATATAGCAGATGTTGTCCTGCATTTTCCTTTTAGGTTACTTAGAAGCTACTATATTCCATTCATAACTCATTTGTTCCTAAAAGGCAAGTTGTTTAATCTGGCAAGTGATAATGGATGATCTTCATTTTACTAAGAAGTTCTTTCACATTCAGGTAAGAGGATTTAAACTGAAGGTCAGACTTTTGTTGTTGATCCTTTATGACTTACTAAATAGGAAGCACCTAACCATGCAACTTTATTTTTTTTTTCTCAGAATGTAAGGTCAAGCCCTTAGAGGAAGGGATGAAATTCAGTGTGTATGACTACACTACTGCTGCCTGCTCTTAGCCTGTCCTGGAACTTCCGGGACTCAGAGCTGTTAGACATCTTTTACAAGTGCAGAAGGGAAGATGTTAGGGTGCCCTGTTCATTTGTCTAATTGGGATAGTAATCTTTTACAACAGGGCTTCTCTGTTGAATATTGGAGGGCAGGAAACTTTAATTTCCAGCTAAGCCTGCACAAGTAGGGTTATGTTGTTTACTTACTGGGCAAAATTTTGTGTAACATTGAACCAGGCAATTATGAAAGCTGTAAAAATGGTCACTTGACTAGAAGCAGTTTGGGGGATTTTTAGATTATTTTTCTTCCAGCCAAGAAAGGGATGATGGACTAGACAATGGCTTAAGGCTCCTACTGGCCAGGTAGTTCTGACTTGATTGTACTGTGTGCAATTGTACTTGATTGTACTGTGACTCTATGCAGTTACAGTAGTTTTCTCATTAGCCTGGTTGTCTGAGAAAACAAGACATTTTCATATATGGTCTGCTCAAAGACTCAGGTATGATGATATCAAAAATACAACGGGCACAGGGCAAACAGTAAGCTGGTCAGAGCCAAGAAGTGAATTACTGACTGGACTGTGGGAGTGCCGCCTGAGTCAGCTAATGCTGGCATTACATGTCCAGGAATCCACCAAGAAGAGATGCCATGAATGACTTTGTAAGAGCTGATGCCTCATAAGGGAAAAAATGGAAAGCTGCTGGAAACAGGACTTTGTCAGTTCTGCTGCTCAGCAAATAATTTGTTCTAGAGCAAATCACTGATTTAGTAGTAAGAAGGTGCGAAGCCAGTGTTTTGTCTCTCTGGATAAAGCCTATCACTAAGATCTGGAAGAGACACAGTGTATTTTAATGTAGTTTACCTCCCACCTTTTTTTTTTTTCCTACTTGCTAAGAAAACTGATCTTTTATTTTTTTTTTTTGGTCAGAAGTATCCAGGTAATTCCTGTATCCTTGGCAAAGGGAAATGGTGTGAAAAAAACACATGAATTACTATGTCACACTTGGCTGGAGTCAACATAAGTAGTGCATGCAGAAACTGTTGGTCACAGCTGTGCCAAAGGTTTGGCAGCTTCGCATCTGTGTAGTAGTGTTGTGACATCAGAGGAATTGCAAATGATTGTGGAGGCAACAGCGGAATGAGGATTGAGTCTTGAATTCTTTCTGTTGAAAATATGTTGGGTACAGGTGGCTGCTAAGGCTGAATGCAAAGGTGGGGAGTGTGTGTGAGGGAATAGAAGAGAAGTGAGGTCTAGTTCTAATTTTCCTTCTCCCTGCTTACGCCTCCTTCTCTATTTTAAGAATATTCCTTTATTAACCATTAATCCTTTAGACTACTTTAATCCTACATAACAGGAGATAAAAGAACAGTGGTTGTTGACAACTTTTTGCAATGCTTTTGATTATGCTAAGAAACAGGAAACACTTGATGGGTCTTAAAAGAGCTCAAGATTTTGGATGGGAATGATGGAATAACCTGTTTCTCAAGGCAGAAATTTTTAGGGGAAATTAATAATAGAAAAAAAAATCTAATTTACTTGACTTAGCTGTATATTTTTCAACTTGTGTATATGATCACAGTCCATCAGCTATCATGAGTGAGGAGTATTTATAACTTTGGAAGAAGAGAACCATGTTAATTCTGATCATTCTAAGCCCTACCTGCACTTCTGAAGGTATCTCCTGCACACTCAAAGACAGTAACTTGCTTTGTGTTCCGGAATACTACAGCATCCTAAAACCATCAAAAAAGGAAAAGGATATACACAATCAGTTTCTTTGGAATCATACAGGAATTTGTGCATAACAGAGCCAGACCTTCCACACAATCACCACCATTTACTAGTACCCCTGTATCTTGGGTTGGAAGGCTTCTGGTAATCCAGAAGTTCTCTGGTCAGTGCCTAGGGAATTACTAAGTCACTATGCTGTATGAAAAATCAGCTCCACCACAGCATCATTGCTACTATCATAATAAGACTTCCATAACATAATAAACTGAATATCAAAGAGAGGTTATATTAAAGACTTATAAAATTGGTCTCCATAAACTTAACTAGGCAATTGATCAAGCAAATGAATAAAAACCCAAAACAATTAACCTCAGTAGCGAAGATTCCATTAACATTCATATCAACACGAAGATTGTGTGTGGTTCCTCTGCTGAAGCTGGTTACGTTAAACAGTCTGGGAGACACCTGTACAATGGCTACTTGCTGGTGAAAATGAGACAACATGGCCTGCTCACTGAGGATCACCACAGAGCTGGTGGTGTTCACAGCCAGCAGGTTTCTCTGAGAGCCCCACTGCACAGAATGGGAAGAGAAAAAAACAACACACAATTTCATCTAATGCACAAATGATGGCTTCTGCAATCTTCAGTATTAATAATTTGTGAAAGAGGAATGGTAGCTAAGAATTGGTATGATTTGGAGCAGAATATAGATTTCAGAAAACTGTGCATAGGGAGGTCTTAATTGCTTAGAAACACTCCAACACTACACCACGCACACTAAATACATCTTTCCTACATTAATTTCACACGCAAATGGAATAGTTTCATTCTAAGAGCACTGACAACAGTACTGGGTGACTTGGCAACTACAGCTCGTATCAACATTTTAAAAGCCATTAAGCTTTTGTTAAATTTTCATGGCTTGACTTTGTGAATGCAGATTTGGGAAGGGCTTTACCCACACTTACTACAAGGGCGCTGATGACTAAAAAGGCCAATGTGGGACAGGCAAATCTGGTTGCAAAAAGCACAGTGAAAGGTCTCCTTGGGTGATATAGGCGGGGCACGATTCTTTCTAGGTTGTCTTCTCCTCGAGACTAATTCTGCGTGAGTTCTCAAAGGAGGCAATGGCCTTATGGAGCCACCAATCTCCTGAACTGTCTGCATGCAGGGTTGGGTCTGTGACTTCCAGTACATCTTCGTCCCTTGCCTGTTGCTACAGGCCTTTGCAAGTGTGGGTAAACCCTTTGGGCCTGTGCAGTGGATTTTTTAGGTGAGGCACAGCGTGCACAGAACTGGCCCCAC